AGAAGGACGAATCTGTGGCTGAGGCTGCTGCACCAAGTGATGAAAAGCAGGGGCTTCCAGCTCAAAATACTAAGGAGAATTGTGATGATCCAATGCATGGAAGAAGACAATAGAGGCATGTTCAAGTTCCATTCCCTTGGAAGAACGATGGTCGACATCATGAACATGGAGGAGGTCGTGGATTTGGGAGATGCCAACCCCAGTGGTATAATCCTACTCAAGGGTCGTGGCATGTACAAAGTGAGAAGTGGCAAAAACTATTATGGTGGCTATGGTCGTGGGTATCAGATGGCTAATAGAGAAAGGAATCAAGCTGGTCACCTTGCAGAGATGCGCTATGAACATGTGGAACGGGGTACCTGGAAGAAAGGACCTAGTTCAAGGAATGAGTAAGTGCCTATTGCTGGTTACATGTCCAAGGGACATGAAAGGGGGGGGGGGGGTTCAAATATTGGTGAGGACAAGACGGTGAAGAGGCTACCTGACCGGGTGAAGGATATAGGAAAAGGCAAGGTTGTGTTTCACATGAAGGCTCCAGAAGCAACGGAGGCAGATGAACGAAAGAGGCTGGCAGAACAGATGGAGGGATTGAAATGTGATCTAATACCTGTAAAAAAAGAGTGTACTGAAAAAAGGAACGAGGAGATGATTCTGCTACAACTGTGGAGGCAACCATCCGTGACTGGTCCCAAGCATCCTAATAAGGATTCTTGTTGGAATGTAAGGGGTATCGGGCCTTCCCTTACGTTTCAGTCATTGTTAGGTCTGTGTAGGGTTAATAAGCCAGATATTGTTTTCCTTTCGGAGACAAAATCGTGTAGGCGCGTAATTACTCGACGTATGCGGGGTTTTAGGTTTCGTAATTTTTTCTTGTAGATGTTGTAAATGTATAAGGGGGTTTAGCTTTGGGTTGGGAGGATGGTATCGATGTCACTTTGTTGGCAGATTTGTCTTTTTCTTTGTTTCTATTGGAGTTGGCAATGGAAATGGCCATTTTGAGTATGTAGTGGTGTGTGCAGGGGTGGGTAACGGGAAATGGGTATTAGGGTATACCCATATCCGTCCCATTCTTTGAGGGTTACGGGTACCCATAATACCCATAATATTAATAATGGATGAGACTTGGAATTGTAAATTCCTACATTGGGTACCCGTGGGTTACCCGCAAATACCCGTTTGGGTAATATGGGTACCCGTTATACCCATTCTTTATATGCTTGTTATGCTTTTGTTGTTTAGCTTGATATGTTTTCCCCTTTAATTTTGTGATATGTTGATATTTTTGTGTTTAAGGTTTTAATGAAGTTGCTGAATATTGTATTGGCTTTTAACAAACCGCACTCCCTCAGTTGCATCGTGTATGCTATTCCCCTATACATTATTCGGTGCTCTGTCCTTAGTTTTAGAGCTTTCTGTTAATTGTCCATGTATATATTTCTTTCAAGATTAATGATAACATAAATCTTTTCCACTAATCTGCTTTAATCTTTTATATTGCAGGTTGAAGCAGTCAGCGGAACTGCAGAACAGTAGTAGCTTGCTGCTTGGAAGTTAGAACTATCAACCTTAGTACTAAAGTTGGAATGCTTTATTTCTATTTTGTTTGTTCATAAATCTATATTTTGCAAGTCGAGTATTTTTGATTGTGTGAACGGGATGGATTTTGTGATTGTTTTGCAGGTACAAGTTGTTAAGTTTAAAATTTTGTTAAAATTTTAGTGATTCAATCTTTAGGTATTGAAGGGTAGTTTAGGTACCCGTTGTCCGTCCCGTACGGGTAACAGGTACCCGTTTACCTATACAGGTTTGGGACATGGGATGGAGTTTTCTCTCCAAACGGGATTGGCTACCCGTTTCCCACCCCTAGGTGTGTGTTTATTTATCTAGTAATGTGGTTGTTCGTGCTCAGCAGGTTCAAACCTTGAATGTGTATTGTAGTCATCTACATGAGCCTTTTATAATTATAGGGGATTTGAATTGTAACCTTGCATCATCGGAGAAAGTTGGGGGTACCTTGTGGGATCCTAATACGTCAATGAGCGTGAGAAATATGATGAATGATTTGGCGTTGCAGGATGATGGTTTTTCAGGGGCTCCTTATACATGGTCGAATAGATGCATGGGTTCAGATTTGATTCGGGAATGATTAGACCGAGTTCTAGCGTCCCTAGTTTCGATGGAATGTTTTCCATAGACGTTATTCAAGCATTGTACTGATTTTGGATTACATCATCGTGTGCTCGTCTTGGCGAATAAGTCGTTTCACATAATGTCGAAACCCTTATTCTGATTTGATGCGAGATGGGTTGATAACCCGGAGGTTCGCTCTTGGTCCAGTATGCTTGGAATCAGGTAATGGAAGGATCGGCAATGTTTCGATTATGGCAGCGATTGAAAGCGGTGCAACATCTTCTGTATGATTGGAACTTGGCAGGAACTACTAATTCAACTAGGAATATTAGAGTCCTGCAGACCGAGATAGAAGCACTGAAAGGGGATGAGGAATGAATAGGAGAGCTGGAGAGGGAGTTATCGAAGCAATGGGTAGCGGAAGAACTGCATTGGCGACATAAGTCGCGGGTAGGCTGGTTGCGTGAGGGGGATCAAAACACTTCATATTTTCATACTGTTACTCACGCACGAAGGAGGCGAAATTATATTGTTGGTCTGTATGCTAAAAATGGGATATGGGTCACATAAGAGGAAGATAAATGTGCAATAGATAGGGATTTTATGAGGAATTGTTTGCCACCGAAAGCCAGGTTGTGAATATGGCTGAACGATTGGAAGAGGTGCCAATCCTGGGGATGGTTTCGCCAGAAATTGGCGCGGCTTTGGTAATGGAAGTGCAGTCGAAAGATATACGACATATAGTTTTCTCGATAGCACCTACTCGGGCTCATGGGTCGGACGAGTTTACAGGAAAGTTTTTTCGAGCATTTTGGGACATAGTGGGGCCTGATGTAGTTGACGTTGTTCAGTCTTTTTTCCGTTTCGGGAAAATGTTGAAAAGCTTTAACCATACTTGGTTAACGATGCTTCCTAAGGTAGATGTGGTGGAGAATATGAGACAAATACGACCGATCAGTCTCTGTCAGGGGTTTTATAAAATTATCTCCAAGATAATAGCAAACCAAATGGCTGCTCATTTTCCCATGCTTATGATAGATAATTATCTAGCTCTTAAGGTAGATATGGAAAAAGCCTATGATAGGGTAGAATGATTCTTTTTGTTTGCAGTTATCGCTAAGATGGGTTTCTATCAGAGATGGATTGAGTGGATTAAAGAGTGCGTCTCCACTGCCTCTTTCTCAGTTCCGATGAATGGTACACCAGCAGGATATTTTCGCTCGACTAGGCGGCTCCGCCAAGTTGATCCGCTATCCCCCCTATTGTTTGTGTTGTGTTCAGAGGGTTTGCGGCGTTGTTGAGAAAGGAAGTTCAGGAGAGGTGATTGGCAGGGGTTAAAGTAAGTCCATGAAGTCCAAGTGTGTCTCACTTATTTTTTGCAGATGATTCGTATATGTTTTTGTGAGCGTCAACAGGTGAATGTCAAAATTCACTAGCAGTTCTGCAGGAGTATCAGTCTTTGAGTGGATAGAAGGTGAATTTGGCAAAATCGGCAGTGTGTTTTAGTGGTAATGTAGAGGAGCCACAAAATCACGAAATGACTAAGCTTTTGGGAGTAGGAGTTGTTGGTGTTCAAGAGAAGTACTTGGGATTACCATCGCTAGTGCATCGCTCCAAAACTGAAACATTTAGATTCTTAGAGGAGAAATTGTTATCGAAGCTGCAGGGATTGAAACAAAAAGCAGTCTTCCATTGCCGCTCTGCTAGATTCCGGATCGAGTGGTATGGGAGTGGGAGGAGACGGGGCTCTACTTGGTAAAAACAGGGTATCATTTAGCCTTGCAATTGTGTCGTCGGAAGCTTGAGTGGAGGGAGGAAGTTTCCTTTTTTGATATGACGTTTTGGAAGAAGGCATGAGAATTTTCTATTCACCCTAAGCTTAAAATTTTCGTTTGGCAAGTGATGTGTCGTATTCTGCCGACTACTGAGGCAATTGTTGAAAAGGGAGGACGATGTCAGTCGCGGTGCCCGGTTTTGTTGATGAGAGCCCGAAGCGGATTTTCCGTTTTGTTGCATTGTTGTGGCAAATATGGAAGTCTCAAAATTGGTGGCGTTTGATCATTTATAATATACCGAGGATGTTTTACTGCAGCAGTATAATGCCTAGGTAAATGAGTGGTTGGCGTTGCCCAGGCCTGTAGATTTTTCGGGTCTACTTTTGTTCATACTACAGCACCGTCTGATGGAGGTGGCCCGGGTCTCAAGTGCTTCGTGAATAGAGCTCTTCGGCGGGGCTTTCATGCGGCAGGAGGCGTAGTAGTGCAAGATGCGACAGATACAATTCTTTTTGCTAAAGGCTTTCATTATGCAGGTTTACGCGATCCTTGGGTGGTAGAATTGGTTGCGCTTCGTGATGCAATTCGATGGTGCTCTGTTATGGGACTATCAGAGATTATTTTCTCTGGTGATGCCAAAGGAATGCTCGACAAGGTAAAGGAGAATGAGATACATGAAATTCGTGGAGGTGCACTATTGGAGGAAATTAGACAGCTCTGTCAACAATTCAGGGTATTTGGAGTATGGTTCGTTGGCAGAAGAAACAATCGGGTGGCTAAAAAGATCCTTTCTTGGTTACTTGCGAGTGTTAATATTTTTTATTTTTTATTTTGGTTTGTTTATATGGTGTAAACTCTTGTTATTTTTTCGTCTTGGTAATACAAGTGAGCTATTGAGAAAAAAAATGCAAATATAGAACTATTAATTATGACTAATAAAAATTTTTTTTATTAACCTCATAATATAGTCACGAGTACAGTTATTTGTACAAGAAACTCAACTCAATTGGAGTAAAATGATAAGGACGAAGCCCTGTAGTACTTGCAACAGGTAATTACTAATTAAATATAATCAAGAGGGGGGGGGGGGGGGTAACTAATTGTCCCTCCTTATTTGAACACAATTAATATTAGGGATATTCAAACCAGCCCCATTGTGAAACTAGGTTCGTTGGTAATCACCATACAAACAGTAAAAAAAAAAAAAAAAAAACATCACAAAAGAAAGGGAGACCGAAGTTGTTATATATGTGGAGCCGTGGCGAACAAAACCCTAGCTGGCTAACTACACCAGCTCAGGGTTTTGAAAAAAAATAAGGACCCCAAACAGAGAACTTAAAAAAGCTTGGAAAGATGAGCTACAAATAGTGTAAGAGGATTAGCTATAGACATAGATATGGTGACCAAAGGCAAGTGAAGAAAGCTAGCTATAGCTATCTAGGCAACTAACTCCTTCAGCCACAACTACTTTTTAGTTGAGATTGTTATTAATTATGACCAGCGCGGTGCAAGTCTCTCGTGATAGCCGGGATGCAGCTGGAGCTCCTAGCAAGCCCGCCAACTTTCTGAGCTCCACTCTTGGGGCCGAACGACTGCGCCCTTCGAGTGCTCCTCTTCAGCAACTCCCTCATGGCTTCAGCCTGAGACAGCACCGGGTACGCCCTCCCGAACTTGTTGAACCTCGCGCACGCGCTCATATGCGCCGTCAGCGCCGCCTCCAGCCCGTTGTTCTGCTTCGCCATCTCTTCCTTCACGGCCTCAGAGCAGAGCCCGCAGATCCACTTGCCCAGGAACTTGGAGCGGATGCGGTCGATGTACTCCGGGGTGCACTCCTCGCTCATCCCGCAGCACTCGCACTTGGCGTCCTCCACTTCGGAGATCGGGGGAAGTGCTGCTGCTTCTTGGTGGTCGATGGCCTCTTTGCTCATGAGCTCGAACGAGATGTCGGAGACTGTTCTCTGGATGTTGTTCTTGGTCGTCATCATCATTGACCTCGTGTGGTTTTTGTTGTTGTTGTTATTGATTGTAGTGGTGGTGGTGCTTACGATTGCTTCTCCGTGTGGTGCCATGATATGGAGTGAAAGAGAGATATGACCAAAAGGAGTGAAGCTTTCTATTGTTGGAGTTTGGAACTTGAGCAAGTTTTTTTCGAGTGTAAGAACTGAAGGGGGGACTTCTTCGTATTTATAATAACTATGGCTACCTTACCATCATCACTGGACTGGATGCCCCTAGTATTAATTGGTAGTAGAATCTGGACAGCCTAGGGTTTAGTGTGTGGATGTTGGGGATCTTCACGTGTTTAACAAACCTTTCTGTTGCACACAAAAAAAGTTGATAGGAGGGGGGGAGATGAAGTTTTCGTGAACTTACTAGACTTTTCAAGAAAAGAAATGGCGCAAAATTATTATTATCATTTTGTTTGGTTGTCTTTTTATGCCCTATCGTTTTCTGTACACTAGCGTGAGAACACATACCTAAAATGATAAAAAGCCATCCTTGTATGTATTTTCATTTTTTTTATCTTTATAAAAGGATATTTTCCTTGTATATATTATATTGGGAAAAGCAAGAGTTATGGCCTATGGGTCATATTAACAAAAATATAATGTTCCTCCTCTTTTCAATGAAATTAAAATACATGCTCAAACTTTTTTTAATCGGAGGTTATTGTTACATTATGCAGATGTAGTTTTATTAATTAAAATGCTCATGGTCTATCAAGCCCGACTTCTCTATGTCATATTGAGAATCACAATGAGCCATGTTATGTGCGCACAATTAGCATCTCGCCATACCGTGCTTAATGTTTAAACAGATTAGTTATGTCTACATATCTCTGTATGGATCAATTCCAATTTCAGTAGCTTGATCGTAAAAGTCAATCAGTTTGCTTTCAATGTCGATGGCAAGGCCTGTAGTTGCAATGCAAATTCGGTTCGAAACTCAGTAGCCATAGCATCAGCCATCATGCAATGGCATGATTGTATAGATCAAACTAACTAATAGTATTGTAAGGAAACTAGCTAACAAATTCATCAAGGCGAGAACCACGATCGTGTCAACAACAAGCTACTCAGAAATCTAAGTGTCATTCAGTGTCTCCTGCCAAAAATAAAAGTTGGAATCATAATTTCAAATGTGCTTGGTGCTTTTTTGTGTCGCGTTCTAAATTTTATAAAATTATGAGGACTACCAAGGGAGCCCAGATCATTAGTCTTAAAACCTACGTCATGTTTCTCTGTTTCATGCCATCAAATATCTGTCGAGCCATCACCAGCAAGAATGACACCATAGTGACAAATAATGGTATGCTTGTACCGAGCAAACCAAGTTGATAAGCGAAGAAGGTTCTTTTTACTCGATTGGATGGAGAGTGAGACGTTGGTGAATATGCCTTTGATATATATAACTCCCCAACCGTATTGTTCATTTGGCTTCTTTTGGCTGCAGGGATTTAATGGTGCTGCTGTATGTTCTATCGCCATTCATTTATCCTACTCTCTTCATGAGCCTTTTAGCAACTTGAGCCTCGACTTTAGCTCTTGGCTCTCAGTTATTTTGGTTTTCTTCTACATGTCTCTTCTTCATAAAAATATATCTTTGTCATACTTTTTCGTGGCGTGAAGCTAGCCAACAAAAATCTTGGGGTCAAGATCCTTTTATGAAATACGATGAACCACAGCCCCTATATAATAAGCTTTCAGGAAGTAGCTGAGAATGACTGTCAAGACCACCAATCATGAGGTTCCAATTTTAACCAAGGGTTTCTGTTTCTATACATACTTCCAACCATATATATCAGATACCTTTCAATATATTTTTTAAGCTTATGTAATTAATAAGATGAAATGGACCGAATTTTTTAGCTTATTACTTTAAGTAAATGGTCTCAATAATTTGAATTGAATATTGGGGAGTTTGAAATATGAATATTTTGTTATTCTCATACATATAAGTACTGTTTTAAACAAAATTTAACCTATGAATTTGAAATTTTCATGACCTTACCAAATTTGCTTACACGAAATATTAATATCAAGGTCGTTAAACTGATCGCCAAAGGCCTCCTAATTGAGTTCCTTTTTCCTTCAACAGACACCCCATTGACCATTATGCGAGCTACCACATTACTTTTGTATTCTAATTCACAACCTCCTAATATGGTCGTCTTCATGTGACAAAAGCGGAAGTTGAACTGTTGACAAAGGATTTCTCTAGTGAAGAAATTTGGCAAGTAGTTAGTTGCGACAGAGGTAACAATATACCCTTGGATCATATGTCCTCACCTTGCATTAGCTTCTATAAGAAATGTTGGAACATGATACAGTGTGACTTGCCCAATGCCTTGAAGCCTTCCATGCTAACAGAAAACTTCCAAGTGCATAACTCACTGATTCGACTGCCTCATCCCAAAGACAAATGTGATGGAGGAAATATTTGATGTTTGGGAGATCAGCCTCCTTGAAATTATCAATAAGCTTATGGGAAAAGTTATTAATGACAAAATCATGTCATACATAATGAAGATTGTTTCTGGAGATCAGTTTAGTTGCTGAAAGGCGGCAAAGCCAAGAAGCTTTATTGATTGCGAATGAACTGATCGACAACAAATAGAAAAGTGGGAAAGTTTGTTGCAATCACCAAACCTTAAATTGAGAAGACTTTCGACAATGTAAACTGTAAATTCTTTCAAGGATCCTTAAAAGCTTTCATTCTTGAACTTTGGAATAAGGTGCTGGTCATTTCTCCTGTTATTTATATTTTTCTTAATGAGGATGCTAATGGTTTCTCCAATACTAAACTACATATGATTTGGTTTGTTGGGATAAATGCAAAACAACTAAAGAGGTGTGTTGTTTTGATATTTTAGATCTTGAGTGCATGAATAATGCTTTGCCAACAAAGTGGCTATGAAATTATGGCTTAAACTAAATTTGTTGTGATGGAACCTTAAAGACTTCAAGTCCCTAATAGTTTTTATAATTGGAGACTGGGACGTGGCGGTAACCAAGTTCGATGCTCGATCTATTTGGAAGAGAATCATGAAATAAGAAGAGTTATTCTGAATGTTTGCTTCCCTGAATCCTAGAGGGGGTCTTAGGTCTTAATCTTGAAAGACTTTTAGGTGACATGTGATGACATGTAGAAAGTATTATTTTATACCCTTTTATAATGGCTAGAGTAGCATGATTTTCATATCTTTAGTGTCATAATCACTTCCATTTGCTTGACAATTGCTCAAGTCCGTTTTAATAGGTCTAAGATCTCTATTACTATTTCGTTGCACTTTTGGTTGTATTTCATGTGCTTTCGGGAAATAGCATCTTAGAGGACCACCATGTACGACTAAGGGAACATCAATGCCCTATTGCTGGGACTCAGAATGAGCGATTGGATCGAGTCTAGAAAGTGGCATGGAAACATTCGAACAAAGCCTAAAACGACGCCTTGGTTACCATCTTTGGGTGTCTCCAGATCTAGCCCATAAATATGCCAACCATGGTGGCCAAGATGGAAGAGATATGAAAGAACTTGGAAAACGTGTTTAGACAAACTTTTTCTCCCAGAAAATCTTATGGAGATGCCTATAAATATACCCCTATTTGGTAGAAGTTCAGTAGCCCGTGATAGGAGGTATTAGTGGTTGTTGCTCTACTAACAGAGTGCATCCCTATTTTAGAACAAAACCAAATTTGGGGGGGGGGGGGGGGTAAATTGGTGCTAGAATTGGCGGCCTAGCCTCTGATTTGCTATTGTGGCTCTCAGTTCATAGGTTGTTCTAGGGATCTCGTTTTGACTGATGTTCCCTGAGACACTTATCCCCATGAGCAGTTAGTTCCTTAGTTATATAGGGTTGCAAACCCTAGAGGTTCTTTGATGATGTAAACCTTTGATTTTGGTGTGCATATGATAATTTGTTCTACTTCTTCTTATGTTGTTTGATTGTGTTGCTTTCTATTGCCCATTGATTTTGTACTTAGTCGAAGTTTCTCATATCCTAGTGGTGTGTGATTTGAAATATGATTTTGAGTTTAATGACACCGAACATGAACGTCCCTCACGATCGATCATCAATCAATTGGACATCGTGACTTTCTCAATTGAAAAATCTGTAGGGTCTTTGTTTCCTATCAAATCTGGTAAATGTCGTTCTGCAAGGTATATGGGAATAGATCGCACATGGATCAAGCATCTCACATACTGCCATTATCATGAGTTGATATCTGTGGTTATATATGTGGTGCGAATATGGATGGCAACGGGTTCAGGTGGGGCTAATTTTCGCATATAGCATCCATGAACCACGATTTCAAAATTGCAAAAATCCCTGTAACCAAAATTATGTGTTGATGTAATATGTCATACTAAAACCAACTGCCATGAGGTTCGGGGAAAACCCACCCACACCATCCCCGAACAATCATGTATAAAGTTTATGATATAATCTAATTTTTTTCGAATGTCAATAGGCAATAAAATTTCTTTGTCACATTGTTTGTAAAATTGAGAGAAAAGAAAAAATTTTGAGGTCTAAGAGATCATTATAAATAGGGTTGTGGATGAATGGAGTATTAAAGTGAATGAGTCTAGAACATATTTATAAGACATATTTAGGTGGGTTTAGTGCGGATAACTAAAATAGAAAAATCGCACCGAACCCATTCCCTCTTTGTCAAATTCAGGGAAAACCTACCGAAAGATAATATCGATTGGATTTTCCATGACCAAATTGATTCGGATTTGGTTGGGTGCCACGGTGATGGGTTATTTTGCCATCCCGTGAATTCGCTTCATTATGTGTATTAGAAATTTTGATCATCAAGTAGGGATTGCATACCTTCGATTCAAATGCAATACATGCCCAAAATCAACCTTATTGCTTAACGTGACATATGCATCGCAGGTTGTGGGTCTCGCATGCCACTTAGGGGCATAGTGAGCTGATTCTCTCAATCAAGGAGATCCATAACCATTGTCCTAATAAGATTTTGCGTCAAAGGAACTCTAAGGGGAGCTTAACTATGGAACGCCTCAACCTCATGTTTCCTTCACTATCAAATAGTTTAGATTTCCTTTCATGCACTGTGTTTCCTTTTCATTTTGTAAAACCAGGGGGAACTTCAACCTCGGAGGAACCTCAACCTCCACATTCTC